AACATAAATGGACCCAGCAAAGACCCTTCATGACCCTCCTAACCTCATATATTGTACACAACCTAGCGATCTACACACACACACACACACACACACACACACACACACACACACACACACACACACACACACACACACACACACACACACACACACACACACACACACACACACACACACACACACACACACACACACACACACACACACACACACACACACACACACACACTTCCGGTCGAGTGTCGGTGTATATGTGTCAACGCCAGAATAATTGCTGAGTCAGGTGAGTAGTATATACTGTACTGTCCTCATGTGGTTATCTGGTTATCTGTATCCATGGTGACTCATACACCGCTGATCAACACAATCAAGGTCTGTATCAGCTGACAGACGTGTCATGTGAAGCTCTTTATCGGAGGACTCAAGAGTTACTCTCTCTCTCTCTCTCTCTCTGTTCCGTTATCACCTGTTCTTTCACATGTCTCGACTCACACACACACACACACACCTGAGGATAAATCATTGCACCACGTGAACACCACACCACACCACAGTCTCCATGATCATGTGTGTGGTCACTGCACTACAGAATGGATGGAGAATCCTTAAAAAGCATGAAGAGGAGAATGACAAGACTAATCCCGGGCATTAGGAACCTTGAGTACAGAGACAGGTTGAAGCATCTTAATTTGCACTCCCTCGACAGACACAGAGCGTGGGGTGACATGATAGAGGTGTATAAATGGAAGTCAGGGCTAAGCAAAGGGGACATTACAAAGGTACTCAAACTATCCAACCAGGAGCGAACTCGAAACAATGGTTTTAAATTAGACAAATTTTGATTTAAGCGCGAAATAGGTAAACATTGGTTTGGAAATAGAGTAGTGGATGAATGGAACAAGTTACCAAACATCATCATTAACTGGAATACGCTGGATAGCTTCAAACATAGGTTGGATGGACATATGAGCAATAGGGATTGGGTGTAAACGGGACTGCCCAGTATGGGCCAATAGGCCCGCTGCAGGCTCCTCCATTCTTATGTTGTTATGTAACTTATTTTCCTGCATTTGGTCATAGTGTCCTCGTGTGTGTGTGTGTGTGTGTGTGTGTGTGTGTGTGTGTGTGTGTGTGTGCTAATCCCTGTAGCAACACGGGTCATTATCATAAACTGCGACAATCGATGTGCATTGTACTCAAAGACGGTGACTCTACCAAAACAACTCAACGTAACACACACAACATATAGACAACACATAAGTCAACACACAACATATACATACATACATACACACATACATACAAACATACATACATACATACATAATGAGGGGCGATGTGATCGAGGTGTATAACTGGAAGTCAGGGCTAAACAAAGGTGATATAATAAAGGTACTCAAACTATCCAACCAGGAGCGAACTCGAAACAATGGTTTTAAATCAGATAAATTTAGATTTAGGCGCGAAATAGGTAAACATTGGTTTGGAAATAGAGTAGTGGACGCGTGGAACAAGTTACCAAACATCATCATTAACTCTAATACGCTGGATAGCTTCAAACATAGGTTGGATGGATATATGAGCGATAGGGGTTGGGTGTAAACGGGACTGCCCGTATGGACCAATAGGCCCGCTGCAGTTTCCTTCATTCTTATGTTCTTATACATACATACATACGTCTGTGAGGGAGTTACTACACTACGTGTCTGCTGTTCAACACCTACATTAATCTGTGTGTTCACTGTATGTTCCTTCACCTTTCTCTAATGAAGGCTTTTGTTAAACCACCAATGTATGTAATAAGTCATTTGTGTCCAATGTATATTTTCAGCCTTCAAACTTTTTCAATAAACCGTTAATTATTATTATTATTACATACATACATACATACACACACAAGAATAAAACGCCAATCAAATCTCTATGATAAACAAGCATACTGTACACAATTTACATACTTTAAAAAACGTATATTTAAATACTCATAATTTGTAATACAAGAGTAACAGCAATCGATTACAATCAATATTACAATACCTGTAGTGTACATGTTTCACAAATATTAATCATGATTACAACACCTGTATCTAACATTGTCAACATCGGGATATATGTAAACATTTCAATACTTTCATATAATATAAAGCTAATACGTGTTTATAATGCATATATCAGTAATACCTGTACATGTTGTTACGATTTAAATAATTCACAATAATATAAAAGTGTGTGTGTGTGTGTGTGTGTGTGTGTGTGTGTGTGTGTGATAAGTGCATCAGGTAATAACTCATCACTTTGACAGATCTACAAAAGCAGAATAATACTTTGTCAGTTCACCTAACCTAACCTAACCTAACCTAACCTAACCTAACCTAACCTAACCTAACCAACCTAACCTAACCTAACCTAACCTAACCTAACCTAACCTAACCAAACCTAACCTAACCAACCTAACCTAACCAACCTAACCTAACCAACCTAACCCAACCCAACCTAACCTAACCTAACCTAACCTAACCCAACCAACCCAACCTAACCTAACCTTCTAACCTAACCCAACCTAACCTAACCAACCAACCTAACCCAACCTAACCTAACCCAACCTCAACCAACCAACCCAACCTAACCTAACCCAACCTAACCAACCTAACCTAACCTAACCCAACCCAACCAACCCAACCCAACCCAACCAACCTAACCTAACCCAACCTAACCCAACCCAACCAATAACCCAACCAACCAACCCAACCCAACCCAACTAACCCATAACCTAACCTAACCCAACCCAACCAACCAACCAACCAACCTAACCTAACCTAACCTAACCTAACCTAACCTAACCTAACCAACCCAACCTAACCTAATCTAACCTAGCCTAACCAACCTCACCTAACCTCCCCTAAGGGTGTCTATTCTTTAGGTGATGCAATTTATCTCTCACAAGTTTATCACCTTAAAAATAAGATTTTGTGAGAACAGATTCACATGTTGACAGTGAAACCTCCATATAACGGACTTCCCTCTCCATATAATCCGTTACAGGAGGTATTTCACCTCTATCACACCCTCGATATAACGTACTTTCATCTCTATATAATCCGTTAGATTGAAGTTTCAAATAGACCCTCGATATAACGGGCTTTCTTCTCCATCTACTCCGTTATATTGAGGTTTCACTGGACTGAAGACAATTTGCATCTTATTAAAAATATTCTTATCATTTAAACATTACTTAAGAGGAGATTGTTCACAACACGACACTACCATGAAGACTCAACCTGTAGATAACACGGGTAGGTTAGGTTAGGTTAGGAGTGCTTGAGGACATTCTTGCAGTCTACAGTATGCTAAATTTGCTAGTCCACACTGATAGTCCTCAAATAGAGTGTGTGTGGAAAAGGAAGGAAGGAAGGAAGGAAGGAAGGAAGGAAGGAAGGAAGGAAGGAAGGAAGGAAGGGAGAGAGGGAGGGAAGGGTCGCTGGGTATACACGAGCTCTTATATTATGTATAAACTTCTTTCCAGTTGATGACACTCACTACTGTTGGATAAATCGTCACCGGATACATTCTTAACTTAAGCCTCTGAACATGCAGCAGGTGTGGCCTCTTGCTAAGTTTGAGAACAAGTTTTTCCGACGAAATTTGATGCGTCATTTAGGACTGACTATGACGTCACACATGCACGTGATTGGGGGGGTGTCGACTCATGACGTCACTGTAAGAGGCGTCTTTGTCCTTGACTGGCTGTGGTGTGAGAGCGATGACGTCACCACCAAACTTTCCGAAACGGCGAACATTTGAGATGAATAAAACTGTAGCGTTAACAATCACACATTAAAATCTAAATTACTAACGGGTAATATGCAATAACAAAATAAAATATTTAATAAACATCAATAATTCGGCGGTTACTATTAAGAGATCCTTAAGGTGGGGATGTGTGGAAGAACAGGAAATAAATTCACGTGTTAAGGCAGTTCGTACACACACACACACACACACACATTCTAAACTGTACTTTATTTTCACGAGTTACAAATTAATCCCAGAGTAGTGGAAATACATAATGCAATTGGTGAGGCAAGATTCACAGGTGGCCAAGACAGGTGGTTATGACAGGTGATCATGTCAAATGGCTAGGGTAGACGCAAGGGCAGGTGACTAGGGCAGCAGGCTAGGACAGGTGGTAGGGTCACACTGAATAACACCCTATTGTTTGGTTCAGTTCTGTATATAATGATAACTGTAGTGGCTGGGTATATATACATCTCAACCATCGTTAAGTTGTGAAGAACGCTTTTAATTATCAAATAAGTTTAGTATCAAAGTCACTATCCAAGATGATTTTCGGACACCAGAATTAGCACGTGCTGACAGTGTCGGTTCATCCGTATTATTATCTCGGCATTCTGGAAACTATACCTACACGGCATATGTATACTGTATACCTGCATACCCTGTACATGCTGTACTGTATATCTGCGTCGACTCTATGCACGCTGAACTGTATATTTGCGTTGGTTATATGCATGCTGATCTGTATACCACCAATAAATAATTCGACGATTTTACTTAGTATCTATCTATCTATCTATCTATCTATCTATCTATCTATCTGCCTGCCTGTAGGAGTGAGGAGTCTACCTGTTGGTGTGTTTACTTGAGTGACTCACGCTTCTGCTGTCACGAGGGGTTGAGGTATTTCACCGAGTATCGTTTGCCCAGGAAAAACTGTCACGTGTTTTATTGACTTTGTTAAAAAATCTAATGTAACTGAAGCATCTCTTTGTTACATCACTTGGTTATTGAACTAGAGAGCTTAAATGCATCTGATAACGTAAAAATAAATTATCTGAGGGCTAAAAGTGACGAAATATTATGAATACCAACTAAATGTAGAGAGAAGAGGCGAGCCACAGGTGCTACGAAAAGGGAACATGACGCAACTGTTGGTTAATATAAATATTCCAGGGCTGCTCCTCGGCCTGGCATTATCTTCCCAGCCAATGTATACGCGACAACTCCCTTCCAACATTAACAGCGAACAAAAAAAGTGACATGAACGATAACGAGCCGCGTACTACGAAGTTTATCTGAAAAAAGTGAATTCCTGGCAACAACAGTCAGAGTATAACTGAAATAGTGGTTGACTCTTGTTTTGGAACAATTACGACTTTGTAGACCTAAATATATTTTTCTTCTAACATTGGTAAAAAAAAGGGTTATTAATCAACGTGGACATAAGTGAAAAACACATATTTGTGGATAGAAACTGATAAGAGAGAGCGGCGGCCATATTGACAAGCCCCTGGCAAGTACGTGGCTGGGACGAGCGGGCGGCGAGTAGCTCCCAGTGCGCGTCTAACCTCCACCAAGTGTCCACGTACACGACTGACTGTTGCTACTGGGGTTAAAAAAATAAGGACAACCAGACAGTAACCAAGATGGGGTGTTTCAGTAAAGCAGCGCTGTTCCTCTTGAACTTCATAGTTTTCGTGAGTATACAGTAGTTTTATTATATATCGTGTGAATAAGAAAAACGACCTCAACACTGGGTGGAACATATCGGGTATATTTTTCCCCTAATTTTATAAGACAATTGACCGTCACAGTAAAATAGATATAATCGTCGAAATACAATGAAAATTAACCATCACAGTACAATGGAAATAACCGTTACAATACAATGGTAATTAACCGTCACCGTGCAACGAAAATTAACCGTTACAGTACTGTACAGCGGAAATTAACCGTCACCAGGGGATAGATACCTGAATCACCGATTTATTATACTCATCCATATTTTTATTGGATTTAATTCTATGTACCAGAGGGATTGACACGAAGTGAAGCAGTTTTATTAAAGTCAAATTTTAACACTGCTCTTAGCAAGCAAGCAAGCAAGGCATTAGAGTTTAACAAACTCTGCCACATGTACTTTTACCTGTTCAATAACAACAGCAACAGGTGTTAACACGTAAATAATATAATTTCTAGTTTCCTTTACTCTTATTCTTATTTTCCTTAATATTTGTTGCTTTTCAATGGAAAATGGTCGGGTTTTTTTCTTACCGTAATTTTCAACTCTGAAGTCGAGTTGAGAAAAAATAGTTTCCACAAAAGATTATCTCCGTTGCAACAAGCATCAAATATTGATCAAAATGAGACCAAAATTGTCCACCAAAAGGTCAAATTCCAAATAAATACACAAATCACAAGTGAAACGGTTACCCAACTCAAATATAACAAGACCAATGCCTCTCTTGGAAAGCATACCATTGTACTTCCCACTAGTACGTTACAGGCGACGGACCGCCCAAACAAGCCGATCAGTGGTGAAGATAAAAGTACGAGTGAAAGTGAACCTATAATTGAACACAGCCAGCCAACCCGTGTAGCTCTGCTTGAACTTGTCAGCTATGCTAGAGAACCACTCTTGCCAAGTCAGCCACACAGAAGGCCAAGGGTCAGGCGAGAGCTGGCACATGTGGCATAATTAACGTGTGGCCTCTAGCCTAGTTGGTTCATTGCCGTTTTATTTATTTCGTGTGGGGATTAACAATATACCACCTGTAATTGAAGGTGATGATGACAGGTATAACCTCCAGTTTGGTGAAGAATAAACTACATAACATACAAAGTTCATGCACCATTTGAAGTGCCAGTTTACACCACTCATTATTTCTACGTATTACCACATACCACAGCCAGGAACCATATCACTTAACCCAGATTCCACACATTTCTAACAACATTTTGCACACTAAATGCATTTCTTTAACCTAAATCTTTCTAATATCTACAGGACATACAAACACAGCACCAGTTATGTGACGTAGGTTCCGGTGCATTATAATGAAGGTTTGAATAATGAACAACACTGTCTCCCAATGCCACCCCACCCCTCACACATCCGCCACTCGGTATTTCCACACTCCGTCTCTCTTCCTCTATCTATTCTACACTCCAAGCCCTCCTTCACACCCGTCCTTCTCACATGCCTCTCCCCTTGGCAACCATCCCACCAACAGCTACTGTCTTCTTACAAATTGTTCCTTTCCGGGCTTCCCAACAAGCCAATTTTACACAGTAGCAACGAAAATAATGCTCCATTCCCCCTCCCCTTCCCCCCCCCCCCCCCCCTTTTTCATAGTTTTCGATAATGACGATTATTTGTTGCTGTTCTGTTTATACAGTACCGTATAATGCCAAGGATACTTGCGGCAGTCATTTTTTTCGGTTATTTCATTGCTTCGTCCAAAAGTTTAAAACTGTTTCAAATTTGAATCTATACCCGCTTCTAAATGTTAAAATACCGTTTATATATATCCTGATAACTACACAGGAAACAAGAAAACACGAAGTTCCTATGGTTATCAGCATATATACATGGATCACGCTCACCTACAGTGATTTGTATTAATTTGAGTTGTTTGAGTGCCCAGCCCCTAAAATTAAGGGCCTGACCCCCTAAACCGATAACGGAGTAGAGATAAGGACGTTCAGTTATTGTATCTTTCCTGGACCCCTTGAACAAAGACACGCCTCACACAACTACCCTGGGTCGATGGTCACATGACAATGGGTTATCACGAGTCTACTACAGCATTCTATCAATTCTAAGAAACTAAGAGAGTATAGGGCTTACAAAGGGTAAAAAACCAACAACATATTACTTTCATAGGAGCAACTGACATTTAAATTATCTTCCAACGTAACTGGGTTTTTCTTATACACTCCAAACGGGATTAACAATGTGTGATATCTGTATTCTCTGTACCTCAGTTCGTTATCTTATTTATTCAACTCCAGAAAACTAGACAACCCATCCCACCAAACCTGATAACCATAAGCAACAGCAAATGGAGATGTGCAAGTGGTCAATGATTTTGAATGTGGAGGGGAGAGTTAGGGGTAGGCCAAGAATGTAACTTGCACTTAACTAGTCTAAACTCAAATTGCTAAACCTGTCATCTTATTAATCTTCAATAACTTTTATAAGTACTGCACATGTGGCTATTTAAGACACCTAATCAATGCCTACCAAACACACACTTTAGAGTACAGTATATCTAATTCCACTTAATCTAAGGCACGGTGCATTTTGTCTACTTCACCTCCAAAATACAATTACTTTTCTTCTTCGGTACAGCTTATCAACATCTGTAAAGCTATGTTCTTTACCAGAAAGGTTTTGCTTCGGGGAAAGTCTTGGATAGTTTTGTTTCTTGCCATTTGTTAAATTCTGGAGGCTTATTCTAATTTACCATTTTGTCTACAGTATTGCTTGGGTGTTCTGATATATATATTTCTTCAGGTGTAGATTTTGGTTGGTTTCGTTTCTTACTTTACCATAAAATCAAAATAATTTGTTGAAACTCTTTACCTCTACATTTGTTTCATGGAAGTTCTGTTATTTCTTTCACCTTGTTAAAGGAACTAATTACCACTTCCTCCTTCCAGGCTATTGGTGTGACCGTGGTTGTCCTGGCATCCATTATGATCAACAAGGACAACTCCTATGGCAAACTCTTGCTCTCGCAAGGAATGTTCACTGTACCCGTCATTCTTCTGATTGTTGGACTTATCATCGTCATCATTGGCTTCCTGGGATGCTGTGGTGCCATGAAGGAAAACTCCTGCATGCTCAAGACGGTATGTCACACACCATGGCAAATTGGTTGTTTATTTATTTCCATGTGCTGTATGTGATATAAATTATATTTTACCGTTTCAGGAATTTCAAATTTGAAACCCAACCTGCTCTGTTTCCATCCATATACAGTATTGTAACTGGTATCATATATTATTTATAGCACTAGTCAACCGTTTTTATGGTTTTACTCTAAGTTAGTTCCCCAAACTATGAATGATTATATAACTACAGGACCCACTTTCATTATTACTGTATTATTAATACCCCCCCACACCCCAGCCCTTACAATAAATGTATTACATTTATAGGCTTTCTTTAAGTGCATTTAATTTAAATATTTCCCACTTTTATAATACATACTGCTCATGCCTGTGTATTCCCTTCACCTCCATAATCTAATAGTTGTGTGCAACCATATACTGTTTTAAGATATCTTACCATCAGTCTACTAGCTTAACAGGTCATTAATAATTATCTTTGTTATTCCATTAACAGTATGCGTTCATTGTGCTGGTGCTCCTCTTAGCTGAAATTGTCCTGGGTATTCTTCTCCTGGTGTACTCGGGCAAGGCAGAGGATACCGTCAAGTCAGGAATGGATGACGTTTTCATGAACTATGGTAAAGATGATAAGGAACTTACTAAAAGCCTTGACCTGATTCAGCATGAAGTAAGTACAGTGCAGTATGGTACAAAGACAACACCATTAGAAATTAAAAAAAAAAAAAAAAATATTTACACGTAACACTTCACAGCCGCCGCCCCCCATCAGAAAATTTCAATACCTTTTCTTTAATGTAGTATTGTATTCAGTTTTATTTATATATTCCTGCTGTAAAGTAATGTCCTCGTGGTGGTTTAAAAAAAAAGACTACAATTTTAAGCAAACTCTCAAATTCAATATTCACAATAACTAAGCTTTCAGCAAGTTGGACAAATCTCGCCCTCTAGCAACATGACAAGTATCACTCATGCACCCAGCATGACCTAAGGCTGCTGTGGGCACATTCTCTGGTCTGTTAGACAAGTTACAGTCTCTTGTCACCTCCACTTTGTGTTTGCTATGGGAGATGAGTTACCAAACTCCTGAATATTTAGCTGTCTTTGCAGGTGATGTAAATGTCATTGGGTTTTCATTAGTGCTTCATGGTATTGTACACTGCCCATCCTATCTTCAGGTATTATTAATACTAAATAATTTAATTTTACAGGTTATGTAATAATTAAATTCTTGTACAAAATGTATGTACTGTATACAAAAATATAGATTCTTTTAATGTTGTGGGTTCAAGGCATTTTCAATACTATATTGAGTTCTTGTAATTTGAAACTGAACTTGTATGGGGGGTTACTGATAGAAATATAGTACTTTTTAATTCAGGGAAATATACATGAACTTCTCTAGATGAACAAAACAAAGCATTGTGGGTGAGCATTGAACTTTACTCCTTGGTGTTGGTGGTACAGTTCAACAGTAATGTCTGTAGCTTACTACAAGTATTATGTCCTGGGTTTAATCCCCAGCTTGAGTCAGGTGGGAGAAGGGCGTTGTTATTCAGTGCTACAGTACCAAACATAACAAGTTTCCTCTACATGTTCCAGTTTCTTCCTGTACTAACACTGGACAATAAATGTCAATACCATGTAACAAAGAAACCTACTGCCAAAGCAGCTAGTTAGATGATAAATGGTGTAATGATTAATCAAAATAAATAAACCCAACTGTCTGCGCACACCAAGACAGTATTATTGTAGTTAGCTGGTCTAAATGTAGTGGCACAATGGTTTTGCTCTAAAGGTAACCAAATTCATATTTAAATTTCCCTTTGCAACATTTAAAATATTAATCGAGTCATCAATAAAGTACCTACAAAGTTTCAATGCTTACTTGAATGTTCTGCACTAAACCTAATACTTTTAAACATTATGCCATTTTTAATTCAATATTGTCTTCATACATTTCAGTACTGTGTCAAATACACCACAAAAGGATTAAAAAATAGTTAACTGCTTACCACAAGTACAGTACCCTGTATTAACAAAATATAATTTGTCTCACACAGCTGGAGTGTTGTGGTGTTACCAACTACACAGACTGGAGCTCTGTGTTTGGTAGAGGCAAGGACGTGACCATTGGTTGTTGTATTGAAAAGACTGACGACTGTTTTGAAGGTATGGCTGAAAAACCCATAGAAGAAGCAAGGAAGTACATTTACACTCAGGGCTGTTATCAGGCCATAAAGTCTGACCTCCAGGGTCTCACCATTGGTCTTGGTGTGGCTTGTCTCATCCTTGCTGTCATTCAGGTTAGTTCAAAGACAATTTTAATTTCAATTATATCATGTGCCATATGAACCACTAATATACTGATGTGTCACAAGGTCATCAGATGTCAGATTGGGAATTTTTTTTTTTTTAACCTTGCCATGTTTATCGTGTTGCAGGTCCTGAGCATCACCTGTGCCTGTGGCATTGCCAAAAACACTCAACAGTATGCCTAAACACCTCATCCTAAAGGGTGATTACATGGAAGCAGATGCATCCAAGATTAAACAAACCGTGGCAAAACTCCTCAATGTATTGTTGTTTCTTGTCCTTTAGTGGTTTGTGCATCAATTAAATCAAGAGAAATATCCTAGTGTCATAGACCACCCAGTGACAAATGGCTCTTTTACATTCTTAGGAATTTTAGTTCCTGGTAGATAAGGATAGCAGTAATGTACAAATATTTCTTGTACTTTATTTTTTATTTTATTTATTTACTTTTTTTTTTTTTTTTTTTATATATATATATATGAAGGAATGTCTTAGAAATATCAGTAACCTAAAATATATTCTTTATTCTTTTCAAATCTTTCCATGCATGTAGGATTACTATTTTTATTTTATTTATTTTTTATTTTATTTTTTTTTAAGAAGGAATGTTTGAATCATGTCAAGTATGACCCGAAAGATTTGTATTATTTTTTTTCATATCTTATGTAGGAAAGGCAAGGTGATGACCATACCCACGGTAGTTTCACCTGGCTTTATCATTCTAATAATATAGTAGTGGAATTTCTTTCCATATTTAGTTTACTTATGCAGCATCATTTAACAAAAAGGTAATTATTATTGTATTTGTTTAATTTATGTATTATTGTCAACACTATCTGTCTCTTCTAAGTTCTCATCACTACTGTGCCCTGTGAGTTGTCATCCCAGGAGATGAAAGTTTGATTTCACAACTCTGTGTGTGTGTGTGTGTAACAATGTGCATTCCATTACCTCAACTCAGCCTTTTCTTGATTGGATTTTCATTACAGATGCAGATTATTAAATTTTTTTACATACTGTATAAAAAATAGTTTTACTACCCTCATATAATTAAATGGTGAACAATTTAACTTGCGATGTGCAGTGGCTGTGAATCTTTTATGTGCAGAGCGCCAAGTATAAATGTCCAATGCGTAGGAGCTGTGAAACCTTCATTGGACACAGTCCTGAGTTAGTGCCCAGTTTGGGTGAAAACACTTATGTAACATATAAGCTCGTGGTAGGTAAGAGTGTCAGGACTTGGAGTATTAATGGTAACGTAAAATAAGTAAAAATTGTCAAAACATCGTGTGAAATTAAACTAAAATAACTGGTATAGGCAGACCCAGATTTACAAAAGGATTATGTTCCCTAAAATCTCACTGATGTAAATTAAAGCACACTCCCATTATAAAAGCTGAGAAAAATCTACAAAACATGAAACTTTTTGGTGCACTGTGTACTCAAGTGGAATAATTTTATACCTGCCCTTAAAAGAGAAACGAGGAGATTTTAAAGCTAATATATAATTATTTCATTATGATACTGTACTATCTATCTATTTTCTTCACCACTGATTGGCTATACTGTACTGTACATCAACTTTTATTATATAATTGTATATAAATTAAAAATAAACAAAAAACAAGCTTAACCCTTGATGAATTATTGTGTCGTCTTAATTCTTGCTTTGTTTACCAGTACACGGCAACGCTTGTTAAAGTATTTTTTAATTATCTAGTGGTTCATTTCCTGTTTCAACCATCTTACTTATTAGTGAACTACCCAGTGTGGCATGTTGAGATTGTACTGGCTGAAAATGTTCTGAGCATGTGCAGTTCAGTCAAAATATCACTGAATGCTGCATGCTGAGAATGCCCTTCAAAATAAAAGATTAGTTTTGGTTAAGTTAAGTTAGGTGAGCTTTTGATCGAACTACTCATGCCCAGAACATTTTCAGCGCACTATATCTTAGCACGTGACGCTGGTATCCACAAATACTTCCAGCAGCACACACACTCCTTTGTTTATCATAACCCAAAACAGTTAATTCATGCCTAGTCAAGTCGCTCAGTACGTCATCCTAATACTAAAAATGCCTTGAACACAGACAGATCTTAAGTTAATAGCGAACAAAAGCAAATATATAACCTTGTTGCATTTAATCCACATAAACACAAACTCATGGTCACTTGAGACAGATCATAACCAGCTTCCCTTTTCATTCTGTAATATTCCCCATATACAGCACCACAAGTATATCAGCCAGCAATGTCAATATCCTTAGCCTTACTTTTATTAGAAACCTCTCCTTGAATTCATCACATCAACACTGCAAAGAATATATCGAAAAAGAATGTCTAACCTTTTCCAGCTCGTCTATACTTTACCTCTGAATAATTTCTTGTCCTTTAAAAATTATTTAGCATCAGTTACTCAGGTACTATTCATTAACTTCATCTAATCACTTATTATTTTCTTTACTATTTCCATGGTTAGTTTCCAAATGATGACCAATCCATTACTGTACATACTTTATCACTCCCATTTAAACCCCAGTTACATGTCATTTCCTTACAAGTGCCCTCTTCTCAAATTTTAACATTAACTTCCTTCAATTATCTTCTCAACAAAACAACTCCATTTCTTTTCTATTCAACTCCTAATAATTAAGAGCCCCCAACCCATCACCATTTAGTTAATTTCAGTCTCGGATGAATATGGTAAACGACATGGTAGTTACAGCAATCTATCAGAGAAATCAATACTACAGTAATATGGACCATAGAGGACCCGACCCTAAGGCAGACAAATGCACCAAGTCTGTAACAGTAATTGAGATTAATAATGGCATGTTTTATTTATGCAACCAACACAATGTATAGGCAAAAAATTAAACTACAAATATTGTATAAATTCTTTTCTGGGGGGGGTGTTATTGGAGCCAGTGTCAATATTCTCCCATGAAACTTAAGACTTGGCCTGGTTTATATGAAGCGAGATTCTCTACTCCGTTTCCCTCCATACTAATGGTAGGCCTTTACACACGAGCCAATGATGTTTGGATTGCTCTTTATTCTGGCAAGTTTCGTCCCCATGGCCATACCTGGCCTTTAACAAAGAAAAAAGAAATTAACAAAATGCTGGTACATGTAGTTTAATATTTGTCGAATATTTTATTTTTCCTGTGTGGTAAATTAGCATTCATAAAATTAACCTAACCTACGTAAACTTGAACATTATTATATAATTTAGGTACTGGTCTCACCATAAAAGGAACCCAAATACTATACTGTACTTGCTTCTAAAAAAAATAAGTTTCCCCAATATTTTGTGCAAGTAAACTTTTTATTTATTTTTTACTTTTATCCTCTTCACCACTGATCGGATTGCTAGCCGCTTGGGCTATCGGTTACGTCTCTTACGCACTGTTGGCAAGTACTGTGCATGCACTGGCTCCTGAATGTATCTGAACTTGCTTCAGTGTTGGTCACGTCTGGTCTTGAAAGAGCTCACACTCGGTGCAGTCACCACACTCTCTGGCAGATTGTTCCAGGAGTTCACAACTTTCACTCCGAAAAAGTTACCCCTCACAGTTATCCGGACTTGCGGCTTCTTTAACCTTGAGCTGTGTCCCCTTGTGGGGCGCGAGCGTCCGCCAGCTCCAGGTAAGGACACTCGACTGAGTAGTGTCCTCTGAGATGCTTGTACACCTCAATCAGGTCTCCCCTTGCCCGTCTGTACTATAAGCTAGGCAAGTTCAGGCGCTCCAATCTCTCCGGGGAGCTGAGGTGCCGCAGTGCAGGCACCAATCTGGTGGCCCTCCTTTGGACATTTTCAATAAGCTGACAGTCCCTAGCATATCTCGGGGACTAGACGGGATGACAGTACTCCAGGCGGGGAAGTACTTCACTTGAAGATCGTTATGAAGGACGGAACTTCTATATGTCTGAACGACCTTCTTATAAGACCTAATAACTTGGTTGCCTGGTTTACCTTCTTCGCGCAATGGCCCGAGAACTTCAGTTCATTGTCAACGTACACACCTAGGTCTTTTTCACATTCCGTATAAATTGATGCAGTCCCTTTGTCCCGTTGGGACATACTGTATGATATGCCTCCTTACCGTTGGTGCATGCATCCTCTTACACTTCGTGACATTGTCTCGGCAGCCATTTATTCCACCATTCTAGGTAAGGTTTTTCTATTCACCACTATTTGAAGTGAAGTATTTTGTGATAAATTATCTCATTAATATTTAGCTAATGTACCCGTTTTAGGTATATCTAGTGTTTGCTTACAACTTTCAATCAGGTATTTTACAGGTATATACAGTACTGGTATTATAGGAGGCTCGACAGGTACATCCTCAGGTTAATTGAGAACTATTTATCTATCAACATAATCAATGATGGTAGTTACCGGTAATATATAGATGTGGTGGGTTACAGTAGAATCTAGTACTTTTTTTAATTATAATTAATTTAATATTATCGTTGTTTATTGCAGTTGTTATTTAACTTAATGAAGTATTGTTTGGTTGACGTAAAACAAAGGCGCAATCTTACTTTATCGCCACAGGAAAAATCGATAAGCAATGATATCTCATAAGTCAACAAACAAAATATGTACTGGATTAATCCTTTCAAAATGGCCTAACTCTCTTGAATGCCCAAAGGATTCATTTATCACGATCAAAATCCAATATAAGTGCCAAGTAGGTGAATAAGGAGAGCAAGAGAGAGGGAGGGAGAGGTGACCACTACCTAAAACGTGTGGCAACCAAACCCTAGTACAGCAGATAACGATTTCTAACTAGTGCCTCTTATCACTGTTATACTAACCTTGTTCTCCGCCAACATACAGTAGACGTGTCTGTTAGCGCCACCAGTAGCTGTCTGTCTGGAACTCTCCTGTTACACAAATTCAATCAGTATTTCACAAGACTCCATCAAAACCGACAACAACAAGGTGTTTGTTTTTTCAGTCGACCCCTGCCAGTAAAAGACAAGATGGGGTGCTTCAGTAAATGCGGCTTGATACTGGTGAATTTCTTCGTTATAGTAAGTACCTGTAGTACCAAGGACAGTTATGTGTAAGCGAGTGAGTTTACTGTTATTAGGTAGTGCCAAGGATAACTGTGTGTACTTGGGCCAGTGATTTTTGTTATTAGTATCAAGGACAACTGTGTGTACGTGGGCGAGTAATTTTTGTTATTAGGTAGTGCTAAGGACAAATGTGTGTACGTGAGCGAGTTTACTGTTGTTATTAGGCAGTGCCAAGGACAATGACAGTGTACAACAGTCGTGTCGTGAAATTTGGTGAAAACTATGCCGAAGGACTAAATTTTGGTGCGCTTTACCTTGTGGTAGCCCCTCATAATGTTTCATGAGTTATATTTAATCTTTGGACAAAACCGCGACACGATTTATGTTTTTGATTGTACGTGAGTGAGTTTGAGTTAGTACCAAGGCCAACTGCGTACGTGAGTTTGTTACGAATACCAAGGACAACCTGCCTCTATACGAATTTGCTTCCAAGAAAAAGCCTAGTTGACTATTTAACCTGGTACCCTGTTGCCTGCTCCCAAATAGACTGTTAACAGGTAAATGAACAAAAAAAAAAATCGGTGTTTAAATACTGTACTGCGTATAAACTGTCTCCCAACACCAACATGAGGTGCCAGTATGATGCAACGAGCCATTATTGACCATACGTCGAATGGCGGTGTACGTAGATGACTTTTTTTTTCGTCTCGATAAATAATCAAACTGAATTGGCTATAATCACAAATAAAAAAAAGGAAAGATTATCATTGCTCTTGCCTAACTACTACGATCTTACTAATCATTGACATATATTGATTTCTAACACTACGAGTATTTACAAGACCATATATATTTAAAACGCACATTATATAATAATTTTAACAAGCGAATGAATATTTCTTTAACATGAGTATACAAAGCGAAAAATCATCCCCTCCCCCACTAGATGATTAGACACTCCAACTTATTTCACCGAAAGATTAGACATCACAGCTTATTTCACCATACGATTAACCACTCTAACCCCCCGCAGGTAACGTTAAAGTATTCAATGAGCTGGTGAAATAAGCTGGGGTGTCTAATCTTCAAGATGAATAAGCTGAGAGAGAAGGGGATTAATCATTGGGTATTTGGAAAGTGACGTCAGAGATCCATTAGAGAGGAAAGATGCTACTACATGAACCACGAAAACACAGATTCTCAAAAGTTTAGCAAGTTGCCTTCCAGAGATGTAAGAACGCACATTTTTGACTCGAAATTGCACTTGCATCTCGATTGTAACCTAACCAATCCTCACCTAGCCCAATCTACCTTACCTTATCTAATCTAACCTACCTCCTCCCCGAAAGTAGCGTCAGGGTGTTAAATCATCAGGTGAAATAAACTGGGGAGGCTAATCCTCACAAAATAAAAAATTACTTGAAATGTGAGGCTTTTGTCGTAATACTCTATCCAGTCACATACCATTTGGAGCTCTCTTAAGCTTGACGCCAAGTGCCAAATAGTGCCAAGTGCCCAATTATACCGAGAGTTCAATGATACAAAGTGCCCAATGGTACCGATTACCCAATGGTGCCGATTGCCATAACGATGACTACTACAACAGTACTATTTAGTAAAACACGTGTGACAACAGAGGTAAGGTCCATTTTCTATCTCTCTACCGGTGCCAACTATTTACCTGACATGCTTCTCCCACAGTGCCTGGTACACACTAACAGTGCTACAATGACCTCCACAGTGCCTGGGGCTATCAGTGGTAGGAGCAGCAGCCGCCGTCCTCAACCAAGACACCATATTCGGGGCACTGTTGACCAAGGAGTTCTACACACTACCAATCACTACCCTCATGATTGGCATTTTCATCACCTTGCTGGGGGTCCTTGGCTGCTGGGGCGCCATCAAAGAGAACTCCTGCTTGCTCATGACGGTCAGAACCAACCCTTGTTTTATTGATCAAGAAGAACAAAAATGACATTTAATTGCTAAAGGAGATGACAGCACCCCTTTCCACCCCTTTATTTTATTGTATCGCATCTGTTGCACGTTTTATTGCTCAAAACTGGATCAACAGCAACTCTTGTATTGCACACGAACTTTGCCAAATTGCAGTTTTATTCCCTGCAACAGCAAGAAGCACGACTCTCACCTGTCTCTTTCTTGATTGCAGTTTCAACACTATTCAATTATTGAATTATTCTACTTTAAATTCTTCCGATTATTTCGTAACTTAATGATATGACTTTCCTGCATTTATAACTTCAAATAAAATTACAGTAATTATATCAGGTTTTCACAGTCATATATAAACAACCAGGTGTCCACTGCACTTGCATGATCATTATAATTGTACATGGTGATTATATCATCCCTATACCACACAGTATACTATTGATAATTATACTTACAAATGTTCATTATACCACTACATGATCCTTATACCACTCACTATAACTCTACCGTGACCGCTACAGTACGCGGTGATCGTTTCGGTGCTGCTGATAGGTATGGTGGCCATCGGCATAGCTCTGATGGTGTTCATGTCTGGGTCTAGCGCCTACATAGTGTCTAACATGAAGAACATCTACAACCAATATGGCGAGGATGACAAAAAGCAACTGACAGCTGATCTCGACGCTCTCCAACACACGGTAGGTTGATATTTAAAGGGAATCTGTCTAACTACAGATTTCACGTAATTCCTAAAATGAGTAAAGGAGGATTTCACGTGCTGTCATTCCTAAAAATGTGTAACTTAGAACTTCACATAATTCTTGAAAGTGTTACAGGGAATCTCATATAATCCTAACCTCACCACACCACTCGTTTCCACCCTTAAAGACACCCTCACCAACAGACACACAGCCTGACCTCACTTAACCTAACCCCACGTCCCTCCTCCAGTTACACTGCTGCGGTATCAATGGCTATGAGGACTGGGCTCACTTCAAGTACGGGAATGGTGTTAATGTGGCTGACGGCTGCTGCAAGAACGATACCGAGGGATGCGGCCTCGGTGCCCTGCTGGACCCTCATGTGCGGGAGGAGGTGTACCAGGTCGGGTGCCTTAGCTTCATCACGGAGGCGTTCGGTGCTATCTCCATGATGTTGGCCGTCCTCACCATCATCCTGGCCAGCGTACAGGTGGGTGCCAGTGTTATCCAGGTAATTGCCAGTGTCATCCAGGTGAGTTATATCATCCGAATGAGTGCCAGTGTCATCCAGGTGAGTGTCAGTGTCATCCAGGTGAGTGTCAGTGTCATCCAGGTGAGTGTCAGTGTCATCCAGGTGAGTGTCAGTGTCATCCAGGTGAGTGCCAGTGTCATCCAGGTGAGTGCCAGTGTCATCCAAGTGAGTGTCAGAGATCAAAAATATCCCAAAATGAAAACAAAAATATGATTATGGCAATTAGTTCACAGTTTCAAAAGTTGTAATAGTTATAACAATTAGCATCTTAAATCCTTGTAATTCACGAATATTATAACTACATCTTAATTAACAGTACTAGCTATGAAAATTAATTAATACGTAAATAACAGGTAAGTAAATTTCCCTTGCTTTTCTCTCTCTCCCCCCCCCACAGCTGTTGAGCGTTATCTGGGCTTGTGTCCTGGCCCGGCGCTCCAACACGTATGAGCAGCTGTAGAAGATGACTACCTCTTAGTTACCCACTTTGGACTCGACCCATACCTTCAAGACGCCAACTTACGAATTCAGCAAGAAACTTCTTGCCACGACTTCAACCCAAATAGTTATCACTGCTTGGCGTCGGTATCGCTCTTTGACTTACAGCGTGTCTCATGCTAGATGCTTAAAAAGGCAGAGGGCAAGAATAGGTTTGCTCGCTTGGTCAGTCAGTCAGAGAATCAGTTTCTGAGACTTTTAACTTGTGTGAATCAATTTATGGATCATTTAACTAGTGTGTGTGTGTGTGTGTGTGTGTGTGTGTGTGTGTGTGTGTGTGTGTGTGTTTAACCTGTACAGTAAGCCAATGAGTCAGTCACAGTTGGCATTCAAAGAGCTGGCAAAAAATATATATATATAAAAATACTGTACAATATACTTTTGAAAATTAGAGGAAATTTGTAAACCATTTTTGTTTAATACTTAATGAAAATTTTGTTGATGTTTTGTTTCTCCACGGTAATAAATTATTTCTGCTTTCTGTCAACTTATCATTATCATCACCCTCCCTCTCTCTCTCTCACTACCACCCCATCCAACCCCTTCTCTCCTTCCATCCCTCCACCTTTACCACAACCCCTCTCCCTCCTTTCCCTCATGCACTAAAAATTCACCTTAACCCAAACTGATCCATCTTAAAGGTCAACTCCTTCATATAAGTCTTCCCTTATCTCCCTTTTCATCTCTCATTCTCTATCTCCCTTACTGTATCTCTCATTCTCTATCTCCCTTTTTGTCTCTCATTCTCTATCTCCCTTTTTGTCTCTCATTCTCTATCTCCCTTACTGTATCTCTCATTCTCTATCTCCCTTTTTGTCTCTCATTATCTATCTCCCTTTTCATCTCTCATTCTCTTATCTCCCTTTTAATCTAATGTTTTCTCTCCCTATTCTAAGTATTGTACTGTATTTTATAGAAGTACCTCTATTATACTCAATACTATATCATAAAGTAACATTATACCTTACATTTTATCATATACGTAGCTGAATATACCCTACGTAGTCTATATCATATCTGTATTACACCATATGTATACAATACAATACACTGTATATAGAATGTATATCAAACCCTGTACAATATCATACAAAATATATTATACTCAATATATAATCATTATTATATTACAGTAAATTCACAATATTATTCTACCGGTATATACAGTATTATACATTACACAATAATATTCAGGTATTGTATATCATATCCTATATTACGTATACTGTATTTAAAGTATTTATAAAGCTATATTACCGGTATATACTGCCCCATATAATTGTAAATAGATCAATTTACTTTCACCTCATTGTTGATATTACTGGGAAAAAATCTTGTCAATACCTCCTTAACCTAACCTTCACCCCATCCTAGAAAATACTAGGAAAAAAAAGGTTTATTATTACCTGATGATTAAACACCCATATGCTAACCTAACCCAAACGTTTATCACCAAGATGTTTTAATCATCAGGTGAAACAAACTGAAGGGTTCCTATTCTTTATGAAAACCAAAAAAAATAAAATAAATACATAAGTTCTACAGTAAATAACATTCATCTTCTTCATTAATTTCATTCAACATCTTAAATTTTGTCTTCATTCACTTAATTATACATGACAATTTTAATATTCACTTCTTATTTATATGCAGTAACTATTTCTCCCTGCCACATGTCCTTTCCCTACCCTTATCAGAGACACATTCAACTCACCCATTTCCTTCAACTGCCCATCACCATACAAGCCACACTGACCACACATACCTGAAAGAGCAGAAACAACGTATTAGTTTCATTTCTAGAATCAACTATAAACTTAATCTATTACAACACTTGTAGCTGATGATGTCGTATTACCATCATTTGACCTCTTTATGACCTAGCCAGCTATTGGTGACATCACATGACTTCTTCAGCACTCTATTCTTGTCCCTATGACCTTTTCTGAGTGACTGAAATGCTCTCTCTCTCTCCTCTTCCCTCTCCCTTTCTATAAAACCAATAACACAATACAGTAGACTCTTGCCATTCGCAGGTTTGCAATTTCGACGATTAGCGGGAAGCAGATGGCGGCTAGCTTGTGAGCCTTTTCCCGCAGCACAACGAGTCACTCCACGCAGCATCTCGTGTTGTACTTTCAAAACTTTAGTGTTTCTGTGTGAAATGGCCTCTAAAAGACTGCCTAGTGTCAGTGCTGTCAGTGCTAGTGGAGTGAAATGTAAAGTCAGTGATGACCCTGACAAAGAAAGTTTTATTATTAGATAAGCTAAAAAGAGGGGGCGAGTGCTGCCGTGGCTGGTCAGTTGTTTGGTATAAGTATACAGTAATGCACTAAGGTAATATAAGTTGTTATTCACGGTTTTACCAATTCGCGCCATTTCTTGGAACCTATTCCTCACGAATGGCAAGGGTCTACTGTACAACAGAAAAAGAAAATCAACAACCGTAAAAGTAAAAGAAGTCACCAACAGAGGATCTTCTGTTCAATACAGTATGTTTAACCTACAGTATGTAAATTATTTTGGCTAAAATATCCCAACAGACTTCCTCCCCCCAAAAAAATATTAATAATATAAAATAAAAAAATAAAATAAAATAAAATACAAACATTCTAATACTGTACTGTACTGTACAGATTTCTGATATCGGCGGATGTTGATGTCGTCTTATGACATAATGTATAATACAATAACAAATGGAAATACATGCTTAGTTAATAACATAAATCTGATTGTGCACTTTATTTAAAATATTTTACAGCACCTGTACAATATATAATACATACTGTATCTGTATACTGTACAAAACTAAGAAATACAAATAACAACTGGCAATGCAGCATGCACATTGTTCCTAGTATGTACGGTATCCAAATAAGTTTTCAGTAAGTCATAACTCACCCTGGCTGTAGATCAATTGAAACGTTAAAGTACAGTAACAAAACTTTATATACACTCTTATACAGTAACGGGAAATAGAGAAAAAATAATACTTTGTCCTATACAGTCAACCCTCGCTTTACGCGGTCCTACTTTACGCGTTTCCACGTTTACGGCGGTACCCTGCCGAACACGGAATGCTCACTTTCCGCGGTGTGTGTACCCTTTTACGCGGAGAGCGGCGCGAGCAGGGTGCGCACAAGGTCGCCCAGTCATCAAAACATTACCGAGTTCTTCACCCACCACAGCCGGCCCAAGTCAGTGATAGTGAGGATATGGACTTATATGGACTTTTTTGACAAAGAGGCCCTGCAAGCCTCTGTGGTGGATAGTGATACAATTGATACAGGTGAAGGCCAATAATCTGCCCTCTGCCTCGGAACCAACCCCCATCCCCGTGTGCCCAGCCATCTTTTCTACTAATGTAAGTGTTAAAAAACCTAATATTATTGATATTTCTCTTAATTATTAATTGTGTGTGCATACCATCATAAAATTAAGAAGTTATTTTTACTACAACGTAGGTATTGTGTCTGAAAAAGTGGAGTTTGGGGGTCGGCCCGGTCTCTATTTCAATTAATCCCATATGTTATGTTGTTCACTTTACGCGGGCCGCCGTGGGTTCAATTGACCGCGTAAAGTGAGGGTTCACTGTAGTGTTTCTATCAGAAATTGAATATAGTACAGTACAGTACTGTATTTAGAATTATTATTTTTATTTCACTTAATGTAAACCTAACAACACATCAAGAGGAAAAACAAAGGAACCTATCCAAACCAAACATGAAGTCAAAAAGTCATAAAAACTTGAAAAATACATGTACGCACTGTACATATTTCAGATGAACACGCGAGTAAGTGCATCCACGCGAGTACCATGTAATTATTGATCACTGTGTACATTATTGATCATTGTGTACATTATTGATCATTGTGTACATTATTGATCAGTGTACATTATTGATCACTGTGTACATTATTGATCACTGTGTACATCATTGATCACTGTGTACATCATTGATCACTGTGTACATCATTGATCACTGTGTACATCATTGATCACTGTGTACATTACTGATCACTGTGTACATTATTGATCACTGTGTACATTATTGATCACTGTGTACATTATTGATCACTGTATATTATTGATCACTATGTACATTATTGATCGCTGTGTACATTATTGATCACTGTATATTATTGATCACTGTATATTATTGATCAATATGTACAGTACATTATTGATCACTATGTACATTATTGATCACTGTATATTATTGATCACTATGTACATTATTGATCACTGTGTACATTATTGATCACTGTATATTATTGATCACTGTATATTATTGATCAATATGTACAGTACATTATTGATCACTGTGTACATTATTGATCACTGTGTACATTATTGATCACTGTATATTATTGATCACTATGTACATTATTGATCACTATGTACATTATTGATCACTGTGTACATTATTGATCACTGTGTACATTATTGATCACTATGTACATTACTGATCGCTGTGTACATTATTGATCACTGTATATTATTGATCACTATGTACATTACTGATCGCTGTGTACATTATTGATCACTGTATATTATTGATCACTATGTACATTATTGATCACTGTGTACATTATCGATCACTGTGTACATTATTGATCACTTGTACATTATTGATCGCTGTGTACATTATCGATCACTGTGTACATTATTGATCACTGTGCAACGCTGTTATTGTTATGACTTTCACGGGTTATTGAGCATGTACTGTATGGACTTGGACAGTTCATATACCGTGTACTGCTACTGGGTATATGTAAAGTGAGTGAACTTTGTGATAATGTCAGGTGCCCATCACCAACTTCTTCAAGCCAAAGTAAGAGCCAACGACGCCACAGTCATCACTCACACACCCAGCAGCCCCTTCCACCTCAGGCATCATCCACTTCAAGCCTAAAGCTCTCACCTTGCCACCCACCCGAGACAGTATGGACTTCCCAGCCTTATTTTCTGACTCTGAGTGACGTGTCGGCCCTTAGTCCTTCAGCCTCGGAGAAGACACAAGATGACTTTGCTTCTGATGTGGACTTGGCGAATGTTGCTTTATTGCAGTTTATTATTATAGCAAATCCAACTAATTTTCCTTCGTTTTGCCATTTAACAATCGTTTCACCCCACAAGAGACGACTGGGAGATCCCCATGGCTCACAGATCAGCCTCACACATTCTGAGTGCTACTGGGTGGTAAGTTGGTGATTAGGCAATAAAATTACGTGCCATCTCCATGTATATTAATCTTCATTACCCCTGGTTTAAAATATTACTTCTCATTATCCATGGTTTAAGATATTACTTCTCACTATCCCTGGTTTAAGATATTACTTCTCATTATCCCTGGTTTAACAATCATTTTGCTTAATGATGTTTTTCAGGAACGCATCCCAATCGATAAACAAGGGATACCTGTACTGTATACTGTATATTGTATTATATTTATGCATTTTAACTGTAAATTATTCATG